TCGTTCTCTCTCAGTGTCTGTCTCGTTCTCTCTCAGTGTCTGTCTCGTTCTCTCTCAGTGTCTGTCTCGTTCTTCTTCAATGTCTGTCTCGTTCTCTCTCAATGTCTGTCTCATTCTTTCTCAATGTCTATCTCATTCTTTCTCAATGTCTGTCTCATTCTTTCTCAATGTCTGTCTCATTCTTTCTAAGTGTTTGAAAGATTGACTTGCTTGCGCTCTAATTTTATGAATCCTAGGTTAATAACTTTGTTCATTTAAAAAAAAAAAAGGAAAGATTTTAAGTTTACGGAAAAGTTGCAAGAATAATACAGCTTCTGAAAACCCACCACCCAGACTCGCCAGTTCATATCTGACTCTCAGTTCTTTTTTATTCTTTGTTCTCTGAGTATGTTTTCTTTTACATACACATGTGCGTGCACACACACACACACACATTTCTTTATGTCTGAATTGCGAGTAAGTCAGGAATACCAGGCCCCTCGTTCCCTAAACGCCTCACTGAGCAAGGACATTCACCTGCATGACCACAGTGTAATTATCCAGATCAGGACCTGTTGTCGCTGGAATGCTATCACCTACAGATCTATTCCAGTTTTATCTGTGTCCAGTAATGTCTTCTACGACAATTTTTTTCTAGCCCAAGACCACCACCCATTCCATGTAGTTGTTGTGTCTCTTTACTTTGCTTTAATCTGTAGCAATTCCTCAAACTTTCATGATACTGACTTTTTTTTAAAATATATTGTTATTGATTTCAGAGAGGAAGGGAGAGGGAGAGAAAGATAGAAACATCAATGAGGAGAATCATGGATTGGCTGCCTCCTGCACGCCCCACACTGGGGACCGAGCCCACAACCCAGGCATGTGCCCTGATCAGGAATCGAACCGTGGCCTCCTGGTTCATAGGTCGACCCTCAACCACTGAGCCACGCCGGCCGGGCGATACTGGCATTTTGACAGCTAGAAAACCATTTTTTTGTAGCTCATCCTTCAGTTTGGTTCATCTGATGTTTTCTCAAGACTAGATTCAGGTTATGTGTTCTGGGGCAATTATTTTTTCACCCCCAATATGTCCTTTTCAGTGAATCCCACACAGGGACATGTGATATATTCTCCCCATGTTTACTGATGCTAACTTGGAGAAAACTTCCCTGGCTCTGTCAGGTCCATGCTCTTCACCCCCATTGGTTCTTAAGGAGGTTGCCAAATAGATGTCTTATAGAGATGGTTGCTGCTGTATCATTCTAGCTTGAGTGTCATGTAACGGTAAAGCGCGGTATTGCATAACCTAGGAGCTTACCATCTATGTGTGTTTCGTTAAGATGGAGGACGCCTCTTTCCCAAGCGGGGGCGGTACCGTTGGCGTGAATTCGGCCTCGTCCAAAGCCGACACGGGTCGTGGGAACGGACCCCTTCCTCTCGGGGGCAGTGGTTTAATGGAAGAAATGAGTGCCCTGCTGGCCAGGAGGTAAGCAAACAATCGTGTGGGCGTGTCCAGAACTGGGAGCGTTTCCTTCATTTCCTCTCAAATATAATTTATCTGGATGCAGTTCTTCCCTCGTGGAGTCGTTTTTATACGAAGAGATGTTTTTTTTTTTTTAAAAAAAAGAATCCAATGTACCTTCCGTTTTAGGAGGAGAATTGCCGAAAAGGGGTCAACAGTAGAAGCAGAGCAAAAAGAGGACAAAAGTGTAAGTTACTAAAGACCTGGGAGTATGAGGCTCAAGCACAGGTCATTCAGGAAATTCTGGCAAAGATGGGTGCGAACTTCACGTGAACTTAAGATTGCTTCTTTTTTTTAGTCTTCAGGCGGTAAGATAGCTGGTGATGAGCGGTGCTAATACATTTTTAATGACGTTGCTAGTAAGATGGGTAGACTACCCGGGGTGGAGGGCGAAGCCCTAGGTTCAGGTCTATAGAGTTTAATTCTGTACCTAAGTTTATCATTAAAGGAGCAGGAGCGGGCTCAGTCGGATAACCTTACGCTCGGAGCCTCTCCCACCATTTCCGCTGCGCTTACCAGCCGTGAACCCCGCTTCTGGCTGAGCCACGCTCCCCCTGTGGGAGCGCACTGACCACCAAGGGGCAGCTTCTGCATGGAGCGTCTGTCCCCTGGTGGCCGGTGTGCATCATAGCGACCGGTCGTTCCGCCATTCGGTCGATTTGCATATTGGGCTTTTATTATATAGGATGAGCAAATGACCTTCTACTAGATCAGTGGTTCTCAACCTGTGGGTCGCGACCCCTTTGGCGGTCGAACGACCCTTTCACAGGGGTCGCCTAAGACCATCCTGCCTATCAGATATTTACAAGACGATTCATCACAGTAGCAACATGACAGTGATGAAGTAGCCACGAAAATAATGTTATGGTTGGGTCACAACATGAACTGTATGTAAAGGGCCAGAAGGTTGAGAACCACTGGACTAGATGGTGGTGCTGGTTTGGTTTTGGTTTTGTTTTTTCCTCTTAGGGTGCCCGTTTCCTTGCATTTAAAATGAAAGAATAAAGACTACAGCAGCAGCGTTTACGTAGATGTTTCCCTTGGGAGCTGCAGTTGGTTATTAGCTGGGCTCCCCTCCCAGTTCAGCCGGGCGAACTCTACTGTGTCTGTTCCATGGATTGGTGTTGAACACATAATAGAATGGTTTTTCCCGATACACTGGGCCTTCTGGGCTGCCACCCCCCGTCTGGCGGGATAGCGTTGGCTACTGCAGTTCTCAGTGAGCGCGAGGGAAGGCATTCCGTGGGCACTGGAGGGCACACTGCGAGGAAAGTGAGAGAAGGGAGAAGGGAGAAGATGAACGAGGGGAAAAATGGGAAGTGGCGGGAAGGATATTGGGAACGGAAGGGCTAGCACCGACTCTGTCCACAGGTGTGGATGCTATTAACACGTATTTCTGTGTGTTTAGGAGGACACGGAGCCCGTCATTTCTAAAGCCTCTTCCACAAGTACCCCTGGTAAGGGCACGAGACCTGGCTCACCCTCTCCCAGCGTCCTCTCTCTGGTCACGCGCTCCATTTCCCCAGGGTTTGGTCAGGTGACCGTGGGGTCACTAAAATGTGAGAATTTCTGTTCACCCTTGAGATCATGGCCTGTTTTTTCCCTCCATCCTCTGCGATGATGCCAGAAGCAGCTGTTAATTTCTTTTTGCTGTTGGGGGGACCTGTTGAGACCCCACGTTTTCCTCGGATGGTTCTTTCTTTGGAAAATTGTAATGTTTACACATTTTGTGGGTTTCCTTGGTAACGACTCAAGGTTATTCACTAAGACAAAGAAAATGCAATCGTAGATGAAAGGGAAGTGTTTTTTAATCATTAGTTCTTTTAAAAAAATATATTTTTATTGATTTCGGAGAGGAAGGTAGAGGGGGAGAGAGAGAGAGAGAGAAACATCAATGATGAGAGAGAATCATGGATTGGTCGCCTCCTTCAGGCCCCCTCCTGGGCATCGAGCCCGCAACCCCGGGCATGTGCCCTTGTCGCCTCCTGCAGGCCCCCTCCTGAGCATCGAGCCCGCAACCCCGGGCATGTGCCCTTGACTGGAATCGAACCCGGGACCTTTCAGTCCGCAGGCTGACGCTCTGTCCACTGAGCCAAACCAGCCAGGGCCTTACACTCGTTCTTAATTTAAAATACTTTACACTACTTCTTTTTAACGACTTAAAAATATCCTACTCTTACTCTGATGATCCTGTCTTTATCAGAGAAACTTCTTCCCATCCGGTGCGTAGGATTAATAGCCTTTTCGATGTAACCATCTAAGCATATCCCCGAGAAACGTGTCATCCTTGCTCATTCTCCTCATTTTAAGGTCTGAAACTGTTCCAATCGGAACCCTTACCGATTTTAACTACAGTTCAGAACTGCAATTAAAACAGTTTCTTACTTAACCTCGATGACTGCCTTCCCCTGTATAATGGTGTTTAGTGTTTTATGACTGGCTTTACAATAACTCTGGGAGCGTGTCGGGTATTGAATAATTCCCCCTCTTTATTTTTAAAGAACCAACAAGAAAACCGTGGGAAAGAACCAACACCATGAACGGCAGCAAGTCTCCTGTGATATCCAGGTATGAGCGTGTTTCTAGTGCATTTTTATCTGAGAAGAAGTTGACGTCTGCATCTCGACCGCAGAGAGAGAATGGGATGGTAGGTTTGACACTGTACGGTGGAGCCAGTGACACACCCGCGTTCCTGTGGCTGTCGGCCAGGCACTGTGCCCCTGTGTATGTCACTGGTGATTTGTTTAAATTGTCTAAATTCTGCCTGCTGCATGTTCCCGGCCAGGCTGCCTGAACTGTAAGAGAGCTTTTATTCCTCCCAGTTTTTTTTTAATTTTTTTGAAAGATTCAAAACGACAGACAAGCTGAAAGAACAGTACAGTGAACCCCCATATAACATCGCCTAAATATGCCAATTATTATTATCAACATGTTGCCACGTGTGCTTGAACTCGTATCTGCCCGCCCAGCCACACAATTTTCCCTCTGAATAGTTAGGAGGCAGTTTGCAAACCTTTGCTGCTTTCCCCTGAATACTTCTGCATTTTTTCCTTCGACGTAGCCCCGATAGTGTTAACCACTCTCAAGAAATTTAGCCCTGAGCCATAATTTACAGAATAATACATTCGCCTTTTCCCGCTAGGCCCCGGTGGCATCCTGGATTTTGTAAATGACGTTTTTGAACGAAGCTTAGGTTTTAACACTGAAAAGCGGCTGGAGAGAAAAAAACCGTGATTTTTATGAGAGAGCAAAACGAAGCCTAAAATTTTGAATTTGTAAAGTAGGAAGACTTAGGGTTCTCTCCGTTGAAACTTCTCATTAGAGTCAAGTTAGAAAAGAGAGGGCCCGGAAACGAGATGAATTAATTCATGTTCCTACAAGTGGCCGTGTGTGTGTGTGTGTGTGTGTGTGTGTGTGTGTGTGGTCAAGGAAAGTCGCTGTTCCTTCGCGGGGTGTGCTTATTATCATAACTGAATTCATATCTCAGGTTTTGAACAGAGATGAAACTTTTTTTGTTTGTTTTCTTGATGAGACAGTTTAAAGCTATTTTCCTCGAGACTAAAGAGTTTTGGATTTGTGTGTTTCGGTTCCTTTTGCCTTCTCTTTCTGAGCTAGTTGCCTTGTTTCTGCCTCAGAAAAAGCAAAATTGGCTCTACTCACAGAAATCTAATAAAGAAAAACACAAGGGTGGACCTCAGAGTGTCACAGATCTGTTCTGTGTTAGCCTGAATCTGAATTCCCATCTGTTTTTCCAGCTGCCCTTCCGGATGGCAGAGCAGGTTTGCCGGGGACACGATGCTTTAAGCGCCGCAAAGGAAACCGGGCCTTTTGAACAGAAAGATGCTTTGAGTTTCTGAAGGGACCGAGAGAGGAATCTATTTGATTTTAGAGGAAGATGCAGAACTTGCTCTGGGTGGGCCTGATTTCTCAGGGGAGTGGAGAAATGGCCAGGTTAAGTTCCCAGGTGCTAGTGATGGAATCTTTGAATGCATGTCTGGTAGCTGGTAGGAAGCCTGCTGTGTCATGTACACATCAGAGAACAGAACTGTGATGTGCCCTTTGTCCTTTGAGGGTGTAGATCGAGCGTGTCAAACTCGTGGCCGGTGAATGAATGAGACATGTGGCCCGCCGGCTGCGAGTTTGACATGCTTGGGGCGGGGAGCCATCCTTTCTCCTCTTTGCCGCTCTTCATCCCTGTCTCGTCGATAGGAACTCCATGGCGGGCTTGCCTGCAGCTGCCCCTGAATCCACGCAGCAGTATCTCAGAGGGGACACGGGAGAGGGTCTCCCCAGGGAATGTGTTTCTCGATGTGGTTGGGTTCGTTTAGCGCAGGAGTGGGGGCTGTCCGGCCGGCAGGCCGCACAAGGCCCGCGAAGTCATTGGTCTGGCCCTGCCAAGGCCATAGGGGTGAGTTCATGAGACGTCTGACTGGGTGGAGCGGGCCGATTCTCAAGTTGATAATTCTGTGTGGCCCGTGGATGATGTGATCAATGTCCAAGTGGCCGTTGGCAGAAAGAAAAGGTTCCCCGCCCCTGATTTAGTGAATGAAAAATTACTTCTGGGAAAGATTTTTTCAGACGTCTAAAAGGCATTTTAATGTGTCCTAAAGGCCGCCATTGCAAAAGCACCTTCACATAGATGAGTGGAATATTGGCTCTTTCTATCCAGGACCCCGGTAGGTGGTGGTCCGTTCCTGTTCTGAGCTAGGAGTTCCGAAAGGCCCGGCTACTCCCTGACCAGCCGTACACCTTTCTATAGGGTCAGTCTGGCCACTGATGCCCATGGTGAGGTCTTCGTGTTCCACCGCGGACACTGTTAAACCAGAAGCCATTTTTAAAATATGCTTAAGAGACGAAGAACGGTATTGCTTTTCTTCCGAAGTGATCTCCCCTGTTCCTTCTGAAAAGCAGGCCCATCCGCTGGTTTAGGTTTTTATGGGAGTGCGCTCATCCTCGCACAGTAGCGAGGATGCCCATCTCTCTTGTGGATATCCGTGTCGTCATTACGTGCATGGTAAAATGGGTTCATACCCTATGTTAACCGTTCATTTAGAGGATTAATGGAATACTGCATGATGCTGTGTTTGTTAAGATGTCAGGTAGTGGTGTAAAAGCAAAAATGTCATCATCAAGATGCTCTGGACGCTGCCTGGAATATCCTGTTGGAAAGTGTGTGTTTCCTTTAAGAGCTTTCACAGGTTCTTGAACATCAAGAGCTTACAGATCTTGTATTCAGGACGGGGAAAATGATCAGAGTTTGTTCTGTATCCTTCAAGCCACAGTGGTTTTGACTGTGCTTTTCTTTGAGGCTGGATAGCTTTATGTTCACTCCAATAGAAATGTCTTCTGTGTTTTGATACTTGCTGAATCTCTGTGTTGCAGATTTTCCCGTGTCTGCCGTCTATAAACAGAATTTTTTTGTTGTTGTTTTTTTTAATATATTTTATTGATTTTTTACAGAGAGGAAGGGAGAGAGATAGAGAGTTAGAAACATCGATGAGAGAGAGACATCGATCAGCTGCCTCCTGCACATCTCCCACTGGGGATGTGCCCGCAACCCAGGTACATGCCCTTGACCGGAATCGAACCTGGGACCTTTCAGTCCGCAGGCCGACGCTCTATCCACTGAGCCAAACCGGTTTCGGCCAGAATTTTTTTTTTTTTTAAATTTCTGATGAAGTAAACCGTAGCCTCACATAATTAGAATTCGTTTCCAAAGATCTACTTTTTGGGTGGGAAACCCCATTTTAAGGTTAACGGACTCCTTTAGTTCTTATTTTGCTAAGTTCTTATTTCAGTCCTTGGAGTTTGCTAAGACTTAAGAAAAAAAAAAAGCTATAAAATAGCATGATGAGAATTACTTTTTAAAGTTCTGTTGTCTTCCTACCCCTTTAAACGGTTTTTCCCCCTCCATAGACGGGATTCTTCGAGGAAAAATCAGATTGTTTTTGACAGCAGGTCCTGTGGTCCGTTACACAGGTATCACCCCGACGCGGCTGCGATTTGAGGCGTTGAAATGACGTGTTCAGGGAAGGGCCGAGCTTTTTCTACCTGGATCGGTAATCACCACGAGGGAGATGGTTAGGGAGATGGAATCTTTCAGGTTTCGCTTTATTTATAGAACACTTTTTTTAAAAAAAAAAATCTAAGAGAATTTAAATTAGTAAAGTTAATAGTGTTCATTTCTTTGCCATCACTTCATCGTTATGTCAGTCTCAGCATAAAGGGTAAACATATCAGAAACACTAGAATGGAAATCTGAGGCCCCATAGTCTCTCTAGGCTGTTTGTAGCTTTTTCATTTTCTCCTAAAGATTTTTCTCTTTTTCAATATGGGACGAGGGCTTTTAGAAAGTGTGATACTGGGACCCGGGACAGTAGTAGAACCACCATTGTGGATAAGTTATTCTTGGAGGAAAATCTCTAGATACATGGTTGGGAATTGAGTGTCTTGAACAACCTACCGTCTCACATCCTGAATGGATTGTTTGTTTTCCAGGATGAGTCCTAGGATCCCTGTTTTTAAATTAAGAAAATTTAAGATGTGATTCGTGTATTTCTTCATTAAAAACAATAACAACAGGCAGTTTGAAAAAATCCTCAAATGCATAAGCTATTATTGAGACTTCATTTGGCAGAACAGGGACTTAATGAGGCAGCACCATCATTATACAGTAACAAAAACCGCCGAGAAACCCTCAGATTTTGTTATCAGTTCTGGGGAAAACTCATAGACTAGAAATAGCAGACATCTCTACCCATGTTGTTATATGCATCTATCTTTAAAAAATGCATGTCCAGCTGCCTAGCATATGAGCTGAGTAGGATAAGGAGGCGTGTTTATAGCATGAGTGAGGAGTTCTGTAACCAGACCCTATTTGGCCACATTGTTAACCAGTTAAAATGATTCCCCTGCCATGGGTGATGCAACTGTTCGACAAGTTTAATTTGTCAGCCAGTGACATTGGCATAAAAGGTTTATAGGACCATAGTAAGATGGTTTTTTCTGCCTTTTTTTTTTTTTTTGAGGTGATGTAATTTTTAAGACCAAAAGATTCATTCAGGAAATTTGCTGGTAGATAGAAAAATAGCACATAACAATGGGGTTTTCTGTGGTCAGTCAGGATTCTCAGTTAACTTGCTGCCTTTACACGTAGTGCCTGCTGGGACACCGTTGTTTTTAAACCTGTTTTTTAAAAAGTGGTGATTACTTCATTCCTTCCGTATGAAAAGTTCCCCCCCTTAGCTCATTATCACGGTGGTGGTGGTGGTGGTGGTGGTGGTGATGGTGATGGTGGAGGGTTGCATGTTAGCATGAACTCCGTTTTTTTTTTAAAAAATTGCATGTTCCCACGAGTGTTTATTACGTAACAATAATTGATTGCACCGTTTAGTCAGTAGGGGGCTATTGATAGCATACTGCTCGGTTCCGTAGCAGACTGCGGTCAGCCACAGGCCCTGAAAGGTAGGCATGGTATATAACTTAGGACAAAGTGGGCACTTGTACCATGAACTGTGAAAAGTAAGAGAGAAGCAGGGCCGTTCAGGATTTAACGCTGGAGGGCAGGAATCAGTGGACGTGGGTAAGTGAAATGGGCAGGCTCGACCTTTACGAGTGTGTCGTTGGGCCGGACTCTACGTGGAGATCTGGGACTCGCATAAGGTGGACCTCATGCATCGCAGGTGACTGTGCCACTAAGTGGTCTGCTCAGCCGAGTCAAAAAGGGTCTCCTCACAAGAGCAAGGAGAACAGGTCATAGAAATCTCCTTCCCCCCTCAGTGCCTGCCCCGGTGCTCATTGTGACGTTCTCTGAACGTTATTTTCCTTGTTCATACACATGTAGGAAGAGATCTAGTGAAATAAAACGGGTCGACTTGCTCACAGCACCCTTTTAAACAGTCATATGTTTGATGTTAAAGCAAACTAGCTCCGTATTGCAGCTTCACAAGCAGGTAGAATGTGCCTTGTAAGAACTATACAGTTATAACCTTGGTTAGGCTGTCCCAAAATTCACGCAAGAAGTAATTTTGATAGAAAACACAGGTTTGTAATTAAAAATTGTAAATTTTTTATTGATCCATAAAGGATACAGGATAGGGTTATGGATGGAACAGCACATTGGGTAAACGGCCTCCACAGCTGTGCTGGCACAGACACAAAACCGTGGTCTTCATTGGTCTTCCTTGTCCCTGCTCCTGGGCCATCATTGGTACTTGGTCATGCTGATCAAATGGAAGGGATTGAAATCAAAGGGCAACAGATATTAGAATCTGATTCAATGAACCAAGTAAAATTAGGCTTTTATTTTTTTGTTGTTAATGCTCACGCAAAATTCAAATCTTGCCTGAATTTTGGGACGCCCTATAAAAGTCATTATATCCGTTGAGTCTTGGTTCAGATTGGTACTCTGCCAAGTTGGGAATACATGACTTGCCTGACGGTTTTACCCGGCATTGATTTGTGGCCCTTAGAGACTGACCGCCCAGAAAATAGAGGAGGGCCCAGTTACCTGGCTGGCTTTCCCACGTAGGATTTTCGCTTATTGCCAGAGTTGGAGAGGAAGCTAGAAGTCATTATATCCGTTGAGTCTTGGTTCAGATTGGTACTCTGCCAAGTTGGGAATACATGACTTGCCTGACGGTTTTACCCGGCATTGATTTGTGGCCCTTAGAGACTGACCGCCCAGAAAATAGAGGAGGGCCCAGTTACCTGGCTGGCTTTCCCACGTAGGATTTTCGCTTATTGCCAGAGTTGGAGAGGAAGCTGTGGCTGACTTTGGGGATATTGAAACTTTTGCATACACTGTGCCTCATCCCAAAGACTTCATTTCTTCGTGTGAAGGTTTTAATAGACGCTAAACTTCTGAAAGTGCAGCAATTGACCATCAGCTTTTTGTGTGACATTTCCTTAAAACACACACACACACACACACACACACACACACACACACCATAAAATAACTGTATGGAAGTAGTTAGCCACAGCACCACCATTCGGACGCCATCTCCATAAACACTTTATCTGGAAATAGTCATTGGCTATGACTATACATAATAATCATTTTAACGTAATCACTTCCCCAATATTTTGTATTTATTTTGGTGCTGGAAGTGGAATAAAAAAAACAGACAAAGAAATCATGCTCAGTTAAATGTTTTTGCCCCCAAACCAAGGTGCAGAATTTGCTAAATTGATTCACACGAGAGTAAAACATTTGGTTTTATGATTTCCCTCCCGCTGGCTCGTCAGCTCTCTGGGAGGTCCCGTACACGTTCAAGAGAAGAAGAGCGGGCAGGGTGGTGTCACGTGGGCCCCGGTGGGGCTGCCCGCCCCTTGTCTCTGTCTTGATGGACACGTCACATGTCACCGGGCGACCTGCCTGGTGCCCAGAGCACCTTGACTCCTCCTCTTCACTGCAGTCGCCTCATCTTAGCACAGTGATGGCGAACCTACGACACGCGTGTCAGAGGTGACACGCGAACTCACTTTTTTGGTTGATTTATCTCTGTTAAATGGCATTTAAATAGGTAAAATAAATATCAAAAATAGAAGTCTTTGTTTTACTATGGCTGCAAAGATCAAAAAATTTCTCTATGTGACACGGCACCAGAGTTCAGTTAGGGTTTTTCAAAATGCTGACACGCCGAGCTCAAACGGTTCACCATCACTGTCTTAGCCCCTTCCCCCAACTTCTTAACAAATAACGGAGAATGCGGAGAAAAGTGCAAAAGGTGTCCTGTTTTACGAGCTCAAACGGTTCACCATCACTGTGTTAGCCCCTTCCCCCAACTTCTTGACAAATAACGGAAAATGCGGAGAAAAGTGCAAAAGGTGTCCTGTTTTCTGTCCTGATCAGCCCTATGGCTTTGACCATTAACTTCTTTAACACGCTGCGTTTTAAGACGTGCCCTGAGCAGGTATGTGTGGGCTCGGCGGCTCGCCCACGCGTGGCTGACCTGCCCGGGAACTCTCGTTTGTACAGACCCAAATCCGCGCCCTCATCGCAGCCCAGTGCCAACGGAGTCCAGGCCGAGGGACTAGACTACGACCGGCTGAAGCAGGTGGGCCCGGCAGCTGGTTCGCTGCTTTTTAAAAACTGTCCCCCGTGCGTGTGTGCGTGTGACAGACGGCGAATGTGCCCGAAAAGCAGGCGAGCGCAGGTGTTTTCTACGCGTGAAACAGTGGCATTGGCACCCTTTGCGCTTCTCAGATCCTTGTGCGTTGGTGCCAGGGGTTTGCGTGAAGTGGCCGCAGTGGTCGGGGCTGGGGGGGGGCACCCCTCCGCTATGAGATGGAAGGGGAACGGGGGCCACATACACACCTTCACGTGTGCAGTAGCCACGTTAAGTCAGTCCAGAGAAACAGAGGGCATTTCAAAGTCACATTTCAATGTGTGATCAGTGTTTTAAAATTACTGCCCTTGCCGGTTTGGCTCAGTGGATAGAGCGTGTGTCTGTGGCCTGGAGGGTCCCAGGTTCGATTCCGGTCAAGGGCACATGCCTGGGTTGTGGGTTCGATCCCCAGTGGGGGGCGTGCAGGAGGCAGCCAATCAATGATTCTCTCTCATCATTGATGTCTCTCTCTCTCTCTCTCCCCTTCCTCTCTGAAATCAATAACAATAATATTTAAAACAAATAAAATAAAACTACTGAGTTCCTCGACATGGTTTTCTTCCTACTACATTTCTGAAACCTAGTGTCTGGTTTACATTGAGAGAGCATCTTGTTTCAGCCCAGCCCCTCCCAGGGGCTCAGTAGCTCCATGTGGCTGGTACCTTGGGTCTTGGACCGGGCAGGGCCAGCAGGGTCCCATCCACCTTTGTCTCCTGTGAGGGCAGCTCCTGGGGGTCCTCCGGGGGGACCCCTGGGGGGTCCTGGCCATGCAGTTGGCAGCTGTGGTGATCCCAAAGCCAGCCCCCTACGTCAGGCCTGGTGACAGGTGTGCTAGGAACTGGCTGTCCCCTTCACGTGTCCCCTCCTCTGCACCCCGGGGCGCCCCGCCCCGCACACCCTCCCCGGAGGCTAGACTGAAAGCTCCTGTCCTTTCTGGAGACGATCTGAGTCAGACCCGTCAGGGGATGACAGAGGGATGGATTATTTCGGTTCTGGAAAGCATTCCGTTTCGTATCTTGCGGGGAAGCAAGGAGGTTGGGGAAGGGAGACCGTGGAAACGAAGCGCACCGAAGCTAGTCTCCCGGCACAGGCACCGTGACCCCGGAGACCCGAACCAGGCGTCCCGTTTCGTACGTTTTTCAGGTTTTACATGAGCAAGAGTCGTTTCGGCGGTAACTTACTCTCTGTCCCCCTGGTGTGTTTCTCTGCTCTTCTAGGACATCCTAGATGAAATGAGGAAAGAACTCACCAAGCTAAAAGAGGAGCTCATTGATGGTGAGTGTGTGAACAAGTTTGGTACTCCTGCAGAGCCCTGTGTAATAAGAATAGCGAGTTTTAAGAAAATGCAAATAAACGGGCTGTTCGTGACTTGAGGGCGTAACACAATTCCTTTTCCCTCTCATCCTGCCCTTGGCTTGTGGGAGGCGCTCTCTCCTTATAACGGAGGTAAAAAATAAGGATTAGCAAGATCCCCATGTTTGAGGTGTTGAGAAGTAATGGCTGGGAAACGGGGTGATGAGTCTTTCTCTGGGTTCCCCTACTCACCTACCCCGCCCCCTTGGTTTTGAGCCCCCAGAATACATGCCTTCACCTGGCCTCCGGAAGGGAGAGAATAAATAAATATACGCATGTGGAGATGGGTATCGTCTTTGTAATGAGAAGGCGGAAAGACCTATTCAATGAAGCGTGCGAGATCCGTGTGTTTTTTTTATTACTGGGAGGTCAAATCGAGCACAGCCGTTAACGTTTCTTAAGATCAAGCTACTGTACTGTCTGTACCTATTTCATTTATTTTGAATCCTTCCCCTTTTCCCACTCAGCAATCAGGCAGGAACTGAGCAAGGCCAACACCGCGTAGAGAAGCGAACTGCGGAGAGAGAGGACTTGAACCCGCAGGAGGAAAGACACACCGACCAACAGCGACGGCGAACCACGGGCCCTCCGTTTGTGAGCCGTGAGAAGGTGATGGAGACGGTCGGAAGGGGGGGGGCGAGGGGGGCACCAACCTACTTTGAAAGCCTTCAGACACCATGACTCCGGCGGCCAGCTATTTCTCTCCCAGTTTGCTGCTTTACTCTGACCTTTTCAACGGGATGGAAGAGCCGTGGAACGTTCCAGAAAAACGCTACATAAAGCCCGCCAGGCAAGATCGCCCGCCGCTCATCGAAATACTTTTTCCGGTCAAGATCGGATCTCACATTTCCACAACCCATGGCTTAAAACTAAAGAGGAGCGAGGCTTACAGAGGGTTTTTTTGCAGAGAGCGCTGATGAAGAATTCAGCAGGTCATGCTATTGTATTGTACATGTTTCTCTCAGGTTCGTCTTCCTATCATACTTAGTCCATGAATATCGAGTGAGCCCCGTGTAGGTTTCGATCGTCCAAGGTGGGACAAAACGGAATAGCTGTGTGCTTTCGAGGGGTGATCTCTCTCAAGAAAGCGTCCCAAAAAAACGACTTTGTCCGGCTGGAGGAGTTTCAGGATGATGGGAAGTCTCTCGCGTTAGCCTTTCACGCAATTTTGTAGATTTAAAACCTAAAATCCGTTCCGGAATTTAAGAGATTTAAATGCCTTCCTAAATTGTTACAATGCTTTTACCAAATCGATGACTCCGACATCACACAAAGCAGTGGTCAAATGTAAGACGATAATATTGTAGATTTTCCTGTAGGTTTTCGACCTTTTGTAGACTTCTGCATGTGGACATTTTTATAATGTAACGACTCAACCACCACAAGACGCGCTTTTTTAAATTGCCAGACAGTAATGCATGTCACCGTTACTACGTAGTGGCCTTTTCAAGGCCTGGTCCCAGGGAAAAGGAAAAGAAAAAAACACATTTTGTAGCATCGAGGGGAGTGGGAGGGAGGGAAGGAATAATTTTTTTATTTCAAGTTCATCTCTGCGCTATCTTTTTTTTTCTCGATTACCTGCATGAAAAAATAACGGTGAGGACTCTCTCATGGCTTTCATTGGTTAATATGTAACAGAGCCAAGTACGCAATCCTCTCCGTCACATCTTCAGCGGTTTGTCTCTGGGCTTCGGGTGTTTCAAGGGTCTGACACACGATTCTGCAGGTTCTACACGCTCCCGGCCACAGAGCTGCTTTGGGGATTGTGTGTTGTTGAATGACAAGCGCTGACGATGGTGGCAGCAGTTAAGGTCGTGGAAAGCGTTGGGTGAGGGGCAGCCACCGAGGAGTTGGGCATAATTTTCTTTATTAATAAATAAAGTGAGACTCGGGTGGCGGGAACGAGGAATTAGTTCCTCTGCCTCCCAACTGTGCGTGCACATGTGTGTTCGTGCGGGCACACGCGTGTGGTTGTAACCCACTCCCCCCCCCTTTTTTTTTTTGACATTTTGTAAGATTAAAATAGGGCAGAAATCCTATCTGTTGCAATGATAGATTTTTTTTTTTTTTTTTTTTTTTACATTTAGGAAATCAAAAGTCCTCTAGGCTCTCCACCCTGATTCATGCTTGAGTTGTTATGTGCCATATTTGCTTTGATGTCTTTGGTTATCACTAAAATGTTCCAGAAGGAATAATCCACCCGCTTTCTAGATTTGGTCCATCTCAGTCCGTAAGACGGGACTTGTCCATAATGGTAGCTGGCTGGGTGCGGCCGGTGTGCAGCGTTGTCACGGCTTGAATGAGGTTTGAATGAGGGATTTTTTTTTTTCTTCTCCTTATTAAAGTAGTTCTGTTTCTGTACAAACTTCCTTTTTAGGTTGATCTGTGTTAGATGAGCTACCATAGTTCAAGTGCACAGTTCTCTTACTCTGTCCGCCCTCCATTGTCATGCATTCGTAGTAAAGACATTAAGGATGCCACAAGCTTACAAAGTACTGTTTTCTTAAAGGCATAGGAGGCATTTTCACCTTTATTATTGTACCTTTTGGTTATGTAAACACTCGTGATCTGAACGCTTATGTCCCCTATCAATCTGGTCGGAAGTAACTTGGGGTTTTGTTGGTTTAAGTTCAATAGTCTACGCTAGGGCAGAGGACTGTGGGGTACGAGTGGTCCAGAGGAAGATGAAAGACGACAATAAAATGCTAGCTCTGACAAGGAAACTGGTTGATGCACTAAACGTTTTGTGCCTTGGTCTCATGTTAACACGATGTCCGTGTCAAGCGACAGAAAGATCCAGTGTCGAGCCACCACGTTCTGCTTCCCATCACGTCGCCTTCTCCCGGGTGGCTGCGCGTGTCCTCTCCAAGGAGTGCGATGGCCTCCCTGTCCCCGTCTGCTGTCACACGTGTTAGCACGTGTGTGAGGGATGTCCGCGATGACCGCGGGAAGCAGAAGCCAGGGTTCTGCGCCTGCCCCACCCGCCGTGGGAACCACGCTATCCCCGAAGGTTCTCCGTGCTCCTGTACGTTGGATGTCTTAAGCAGTTTAGGGGGTCCTTTCTCACGGCCAGAGTGGGGGGGCCTCCTTTCCTCAACACTGTGACCTGATCCGTGCATACCTGTACTCCACACCCTGTGGACGGCGGACACGTCAGCTGCGTACCCACTGAATGAATGTACCCCCCTTAGCGCTGGTGCTGAATTCTCCGCACAACAGTCACCCTGCTTTCCAAGTTCGTTTTGAAAATTTCGCCGGCATCCCGCGTCCATCAGAACGGAAGGCGACACACGAACGGATGTCGACGTCTCCCCTGCTTTCCGGTGTCCGTCCGGCCGCGCGTCCGGTTCTCCGCTGTGTTTGATCGTTGCTGTTTTCATTTACATTTTCCTACACGCTAACTTCGATTGTGCGATTGAAATAAAGTTGCAGTACATACGTGTTGCTCCGTTTGTGGCCCTTAGATCACCGAAGGGAAGGGAGCTGTCGGTTCTCAAAACACGTCTCCTCGAATGTGGAAAATCGCTTTTTAAAGTCCTGGGCCACGTGAGGTTTTACACATAGCGTCCCTATTCTTGAGAGAGTTCGTAAAAGTCACCGATACTAAGGAATGTGTGCGGAGGGAATGGGGGTCGTGTATCTCCTTTTTGTTGAGAATGATTAACGGTTGGCTGGTCCCTGTTGGTTCTTATTTTCTCACGGCCCCGCTGAACACACCGTGTTCTTATTCCTCTTCCGGTCAAGAGAATGACAGTGTGTAATTTTACCCCATTGTTGTCCGACCACAATAGTCAGACACTTAAACTCACTTATGCGGTTCAAATTGTTGTCCACATAGTGTGCAGGGCAAAGGGCATTGTGTGGTCAAGGGCCTTAACCAAGGACTGAGTTAAATACCCTGGGATCGCCCTGGCTGGTTTGACTCAGTGGATCGAGTGTCAGCCTGCAGACTGAAGGGTCCCGGGTTTGATTCCGGTCAAGGGCACTTGCTCGGGTTGTGGGCTCGATCCCCAGGGCGGGGGGTGCGTGGTGTGCAGGAGGCAGCTGATCAACGAATGTCTCTCATCATGGATGTTTCTATTCTCTCTCCCTCTCCCTTCCTCTCTGAAATCAATAGAAATATATATATTTTTTAAAAATACAGTGGGATCTGTGTATGTGTAGTGTGTGATTATACCTGATGCCAATTTCTTGAAGCCCCGAAGCAGCAGTACTTTTTGTCTGGCTCCTACAAAGTCCTCGTTTTGAGCTCCGTTTTAAAACCCCATTGTCTTCCTTAGAAGTACAAGCACGCGGCTCTCTTCTTGCAGCAGACCCGTTGCCCCTCGCCGTCCTGTCCTTCCCGCGTCCCCATCCTTCAGGGTCGTTGCCGCGGCGACCCAGGCCACAGTTCTAGAAATAGCAACCCAGGGGTTTTTCTATCCTGTCCCAGGTTCTTGCTCCCTTCCTATATAAACAGATCAGAATGTTTGTCTGCAGGCAGAAAGTCACGTCCCATTCAGGAATGAATTCAGTGCCCTGGCCGGTTTGGCTCCGTGGATAGAGCATTGGCCCGAGGACTGAAGGGTCCCAGGTTCGATTCCAGTCAAGGGCATGTACCTTGGTTGCAGACGTGATCCCCAGTAGGAAACGTGCAGCAGGCAGCTGGTCGGTGTTTCTCTCTCAACGCTGATGTTTCTATCTCCCCCTCTCCCTTCCTCTCTGTAAAAAAATCAATAAAAGTATTTTTTTTTAAAAAAAGAAGAATGAATTAAGTAACAAATGGTAACCTTTTCCATTTGCCTCCCAACAACTTTTGTGTCTCCTAACTGTGTATATATTCCCGGCTCCGTTGTGAGGCCTTGGCCTGTAAATTCCAAGCAGCGTTCCCCGGGCAGCACAGTTGACACAGATGTGCTGCAGGACCCGTAGTTGCTTCCCGTAGCCGTCATAACTGAGCCTTGACCTTCTGTCGGTGGGAAGCGTGAAGAATGACATCCTACGGGGCATGCTCTCATTCCTCTACGGAGCGATGATACAATCACTTTCCTAAGGACATTTCTCTAACGTTCACTTACAAGCGCCAGACCGGATCCTGGCGTACCGTCCTTGTTTTTAGCAGATAAAGGTGGTGCCTGGACATGTCCTAAAAGTGCTAAAGCAGCGGTTCTCAACCTGTGGGTCGCGACCCCTGTGGCGGTCGAACGACCCTTTCACAGGGGTCGCCTAAGACCATCCTGCCTATCAGATATTTACATGATGATTCATCACAGTAGCAACATGACAGTGATGAAGTAGCAACGAAAATAATTTTATGGTTGGGTCACAACATGAGGAACTGTATTTAAAGGGCCAGAAGGTTGAGAACCGCTGCGTTAAGGAGTGCGACAGGTATCCCAAGGTTAGTGATGCTCAATACCTCGGGCTTTTCACTGAAAAGCCATTGAATCATCCTATTTAGATGCGTTTGAAGTCACAGCGTGAAGGGTGTGTAAGGGACCTGGGTGAGTCAGTGAACAGAATTTGGGGTAGATCTGTTGGCTGCATAACGATCCAGCGGAGATCTTTGGCTTTGAAAAATCGTTTTTCTCTCGAGTGTGAGCACATTTGACGAAGAACCTAGAGCTGGGGATCCCTCAGGAAAGGCCGTTTCTGGGGGGCAGGTACACTCGGGTCGCCTGGGCCAGTTTCGTTGTTCCCAGCACCCAACAGGCTGTGATTTGGTTCTCCCCATGTTGACCCCAGATAATTTTTAAGAATCGAGATTCTTTTTTTTGAAATATATTTTTATTGATATCAGAGAGGAAGGGGGAGGGAGAGAGAAACATCCATGATGAGAGAGAATCATTGGTCAGCTGCAGCCCCACACTGGGATCGAGCCTGCAACCCAGGCATGTGCCCATGACCGGAACCGAACCCAGGACCCTTCAGTCCGCAGGCCGACGCTCTGTCCAATGAGCCAAACTGGCCAGGGCAAGAATCGAGATTCTTATATCTCTATATATAAAAGCCTAAGCGGCCAGATGACCGGCCGGTAGCTGTGACGCGCACTGACCACCAGGGGGCAGATGCTCAACGCAGGAGCGCCACTCAGCTGGCAGATGGGCGCCAGATGTTGGGCTCACAGCTGGCAAGAGCGCAGCTGCAGCGGATTGAGCCTCTCCTGCCAACACCTCCCCGTCCCCCATCCCCCCCCAGCTGGGAGCAGCACAGCACCCAAGCCCGGCCTTGGGCTCCTCCCTCGCCACCTGCCGCTTCACACACTGCTCCGTGCTGTGCGGGATCAACACGGACAAGCTGGCCGGAGCCCGTTGAGCTGGCGGTAAGGCCAGGCTGTGGCAGCGCGGAGGTACCCTGCTCCCCGCAGGCCAAGCGGAGGGACCCCCACCCGGTGCACGAATCCATGCATCAGGCCTCTAGTATGTTAATAATACTGGGAACAGGAGACCTTCAAATTTTTAAAGTCTAAAATGGGTTAGAAAAGAAAAAAAATATTGTCCGGCCTGTGCAGCTCCGTGGTTGAGCTACTGACCTAGGAACCAGGAGGTCCCAGTTCGATTCCCGGTCAGGGCACGTGCCCAGGTTGTGGGCTCCATCCCCAGTGTGGGACTTGGAAGCGGCCGCCGATCCATGATTCTCTCTCATTGATGTTTCTGTCTCTCCCTCTCCCTCTCTGAAATCAAAAATATATTATAAAAAAATATTAACAGGCCCTAACTGGTTTGGCTCAGTGGATAGAACATCGGCCTGCGGACTGAAGGGGCCCCGGTTCGATTCCGGTCCAGGGCAT